GAGGGAGGGGGCGGGAGCGAACCACTGAGACGCCGAGACCTCTGCAGTCCTAGAGTGGAGCAGGAAGTGTCCCAGGGGAGGGAGCAGGAGGGTCCGGCCTTTCCTTTCCTCCATGTCCAGCGAGCTTCAGTGGCAGCCAAGCCTGCGCGGCCGGCTAGCGGGGACGCGTCCCGGCGGTGGAGTCGTGGATTTCTGGATGAGCTGGAGATGTGGCTTGGCTGGCCAGGGACGGAGTCGGGCCCAGCAGAGAGCCCGCCTCGGGAAGGACACCAGGAGGCGGGCTGGGAAGGATGAGGGACGGCTGTGGAGACGAACGCCGCAGTAGGAGCCATTGGAGTTAGACGCCGGGAAGGAGTTCCAGACGGTGTGAAGTCTCAAGGGCAGGAACGGTGACTTTGGCTCAGAAATCCCAAGATAGCAGCCTGCTTAGCTCGGCCCTCTTAGGTTTTCTCCAGGAGGATCTGGCCACCGAAGGGTTGTCTTCTGCTGCTGACCCCCATCAAATTCCATCATGCCCACAGCCCTGTGTCCCCGAGTCTTGGCTCCGAAGGAAAGTGAGGAGCCCAGGAAAATGAGGAGCCCACCGGGAGAGAGCCCTGGACCCCAGGGCGAGCCTCCCAGCCCCGAATCTTCCCGACGCCTCTTCCGCCGGTTCCGCTACCAGGAGGCGGCGGGCCCCCGTGAGGCCCTGCAGCGCCTCTGGGACCTGTGCCGGGGCTGGCTGTGCCCCGAGCGGCACAGCAAGGAGCAGATCCTGGAGTTGCTGGTGCTGGAGCAATTCCTAGCCATCCTGCCTTGCGAGATCCAGGGCTGGGTGCGTGCCCAGGAGCCGGAGAGTGGAGAGCAGGCTGTGGCTGCTGTGGAGGCACTAGAAAGGGAGCCAGGGAGACCCTGGCAGTGGCTCAAGCACTGTGAGGACCCCGTGGTGATTGACGATGGGGATGGCCCTCTGGACCAGGAGCAGGAGCGGCTCCCAGCAGAGGCCCAGAGCCACCTTGCAAAGAGCCAGGAAGCCCAGCCAGTGGCCCTGCCCCAGGGCCCTGGGCTCCCAAGCAGACTGCCAGGCCAGCTCAGCGGGGACCCAGTTCCTCAGGACCCATCCCTCCTTCAGGAAGTGAGCATGAGGGATGGACAGCAGATGACTTCTCTCCAGCTGCCCCTGAAACGGGTTTCTCCTTTCGAGGACATGATCTTCTGTTTCTCGGAAGAGGACTGGTCCCTTCTAGACCCTGCCCAAACTGGCTTCTACGGGGAATTCATCATTGGAGAGGACTGTGGGGTTTCGCTGCCTCCAAGTAAGACGCCCTTCCAACCCTCTCCTGAGACCAGGGAGCTGGGGGCCCACATCTGAATTTGCCGACCACCCTCCATCCCTGCCATGAGGTCACCTGCACACAACGACACTGGGGGCACTTAGTAGAGGCATCCTCACCTGCCACTATCACATGTAAATTAGGCTTACTGGCTGTTTTGCATTCGAAACCAAACATAACAGGTTCCTGTGCACCCACTTTTCTTCTATCATTTTGATCCTATGGCCTCTGAAGTTCTGGCTTTCTATCTCATGGGCCAACAGCTGCCCCAAGCCCATAGCTCCCCCACTAGTATGCC